GATATCGAAATTTCTTTTAGATTTCTAATTGGGCCCTTTCAAGACCTAAAATTCTGCAAAATCAAAAAAACGAAATTCCAACCACTTTAGAAGCTAAGCTTAAGTAAATCTAATGATTTTTTGCTCTAAATATGGATATTGGAGCTGTTTGGGGCCACTGGGGGGACATGTCGGACCTTAGTGGGCGTCTACGCCCCCAATGGAATACTGTGAAAAAATTTGGCTGCTCTAGCTCTTACGGTTTAGGCTGTGGTCGTATCCCCCTAAAAATCGGTCTTTCATTTTATAATCTTTAGAGATGAAAGTGATCCAAGTAAAAGTTGTGAACTTGTATACTTTTTATCAGTTACAATGTTATCAATGCAATTTTAATTTGCGCACAAATATGTATACTTGTTTATAAATTGGAATTTGTTGTTTCCAAATTTCTTGTTTTGAATGAAACGAAAACCTTTGTACACACAGTAAAGGATTGGCATCCAATACAAAAACAGCAAAGTAACGTATTATTTTCAGATTCCACATTTGATCGATTATTATTAATTTTAAGCTCAAAAAAATTTTGCATTGGCTGAAAGGAAATAAATCATTTTATTTGTATTTAAGCACATTATCTAATTTCGAATAGAAACATACACACACATTGTGTGTATGTACATGTATTGTACATACATATAAGCAAATCAAAACATATCCAAATATACATATGTACATACGTATTTGGTCAAAAGTTCGAATCTTAAGATTAATATTTAACTTGGAAACATTTTTGCTTTGCTTACAGAATTTGTAGTAATTTTCTATTTTCTTCCATGGTGGAAATTAAAAAAGGTTCTTACTTCTGCTACAAAATGAAAAATAAAACCGAAGCATTTGATCCACAGGACTGACTATTGATCGAAAATCATTTTGATCGGAGTTTAAGTTTTTAAAATCCAAAACAAATTTAACTTAAATTGCCTCTTTCCCCTCCCCTTTCCATGCAGCACTACCCCACCCCATTTCTTGGCTGTTGCTCTCTCGGCCGTCGCTCTCTTGCCATCCGCTCTCTGGGTTCCGCTCTCTCGGCGGGCACCCACAAAATGCAACGCAATAACTTAGGAAATCAAAATAAATTCGTTAAAAATACTTTAAAAAAATGTTAAAAACTTAAAAAATTAAACTTAAGCATTTGGGCCATAGAATAACCATTTACTACAAAATCATCTCGATCGGAGCAGCGGTTTAGATTTTTTAAATCGAAAAGTTAATTTTAAATGTAGCCCCCAAATTATGGGGGATATCGAAATTTCTTTTAGATTTCTAATTAGGCCCTTTCAAGACCTAAAATTCTGCAAAATCAAAATTTCGAAATTCCAACCACTTTAGAAGCTAAGCTTAAGTAAATCTAATGATTTTTTGTTCTAAATATGGATATTGGAGCTGTTTGGGGCCACTGGGGGGACATGTCGGACCTTAGTGGGCGCCTACGCCCCCAATGGAATACTGTGAAAAATTTTTGCTGCTCTAGCTCTTATGGTTTAGGCTGTGGTCGTATCCCCCTAAAAATCGGTCTTTCATTTTATAATCTTTAGAGATTAGAGATAGTTGTCCGATCCGGATGATTCTCATGTATAACATGCGTAGGGATAAAATATGGCGACTGGTAAAGTTTCAAGTCAATATCTTTTGAATTGACCGAGTTATTAATTTCGGCCAAGAAAAGTGGTTAAATGCCCCATAGTGCCTTGTGCTCAGTTTTGGATGAGCATTCGAAGTAACATGTTTGTCTTGAGCCTATTTAAGAAAGTTAAAGTGCGATCCCTCAAAGATGCAATTTATAATTTTTCAATTTATATTTGCCTACTGAAAATATTGCGGGCCGCAAATACCATCCTTCTCTAATATTAATATTTATTTTCGATTGCAGGAATAGTTTCAATTTCAGGAACTGTTGATAATTTGGCAGTAAGTAAGTACATTTTAATAATAATATATTAAATACTTAATATAAATATTAATAACACTAGTTTACTGCCGAAATGCTCAACAGCAATTGATGGCAAATTCTGTTAGGTTTGGACCCCTAGATCACGAAAATAGCACTAATTTTTTGTTTCGATGGCACAGTTTTTTTTAAAGATTTTTTAAAGTTTGAAATGTTAAATTTCGGACCTTTTTCGAATTTCTTCTTATATCTCGGTAGATATCCACCCGATTGGGCCAGTTTTAGTTTTATTTTAAAGTCAATAGATCAGATCTTAACTTTGCCATACAGATCAATATGATTGGATAAGTAACGGCAGCGCAGAAGCTCGACAAAGATGAAAAATGTGTTTTTTGGTCGACTGTCGGCTGTATATATCGTAAAAACTCGAAATAAATCCGTTGAAAAATCATAATGGGTACAAACTTAAAGTTTATATCCTACCGAATAAAACTAGCCAAATATGGCCCAAATCCATGGAAAACTGGATTTATGGTGGATTTTTAAAGTTCTGATTTTTCCACTTTTTTCGGTTGACAGAGTCCAAATTTAAGATTTATCATAGGCGGCGACATGTAAACAAAAATGAGTGGTGACGGCAGCCGGGTCAAAAAAAATACTTGGGGCTTTTTTATGCTAGACCGAATGGCGAACTTGTAATCCTCATATGAAATTTCAAGGTGGCTAAGGAAATATCCAAAATTAATAAACACAGCCGATTCTTCTTCGGAAACAGACTTTAAAAGCTCTTTAACTTTTTTAAATGTTTCTTTATGTTCTTTAACGTTGGTTTCGTTTTCTTCAAATGGATACAAAACCAGAGTTTCATATGGCATATGGGCCGTTCTTTTACAAACCGAACAGATTTGGCCAAAAAAAAAATTTCACATTTTTGATTTGCCTGAAACTTTTTTTACACGTACTATTCGGAAAATAAGTAAACACGTGTATCAGGATTTGACCAAAAAAAAATTATTTTTTTAGTTAGAATTTTTTTAAGTGTGCCAAAAATTGTCAAATTTGAAAAAGTACCCTCTCATTGAAAATCTTTATCTCCGGTTATATGAATCCAATTAACTTCATGTCTTTTGCATTAATTCCTCTAAAACCTCTCCTTTCAAAATAAAATTTCTTAAAAACAAATGTTTTTAATTTCTTAAAAATAAAAACAAATTAAGATTTAAAAAAAATTTTTTGACCATTGCCCCACAAAAAAATTAATACTTGCGCCATATTGTTAGTTACAATCGGTTTTTGTAAAAAGTTGGAGCCACTTTTAGTTTTTAAAATATCGAATTTGTTTTAGCAAGGCCTCGGCTTTTTTCTATGAAAAAACGTCGCAGCATGTAGATTAACTCTCTCACTCTTATCGGATCCTTATGGAATTTATGTTTTCTCATTGTTTACTAGTCCTTTAACAATTGTTAATGATTAAAAGTAAAGTTTTAAGTCTTTTGAAAATTTCTGAATGACAAAAAGTAAAAAGTCATTTTTTAATCAATTAAAAACTTACAATTATTTATTTAACCGTCTATTTAAAAAACAATAATTTAAAAATTTTTGAATTTATTATTTTTCTGTATTATGTAATTTATTAAACATTTTTAAATATATTTTTTTAATTTCTTAAAAAAATTTTTAAAATTTTTAATTGTTTTATTTTTTATAAGATATATTATTATAACTTCCCTCTAATACCAATTTCTCAGATGTTTGGAATTTTAAATTAGTCCTATTTTGACAAAAAGGGAAAAGTGTACATATATACAGATATGATTTTTATAGCAAACGTTTGAAAAGCTTTTTTTTATAGCAAACCCGAGAACTTTGAAATTCAATTACAAGAGAACCATGGACGACCGCCAAGTTCTTTTTGCACGTAAATTCTTAAGAAATCGCGGTCCATCGATGATAATTTTTTCGCGAATTTCGGGGGTGAGTCCGCTAATATATAGTATTACCCTTTAAACAAATGGAAATGTTTAAACAATTTGATTCACGGCATCCCCTTCCACCTGCCTTTCTTATTATTAATATAATTCTAATCAAGGTGAAAAATTAATGAAAACAAATATACTGAAGCAAAATATCAATGGTAAAATTCAGTTATATATATGAAACTGCTTTTCTTAATGCCGTTTTTTAAATAGTCAAATACATAAAGCAAAACATTATTTCGCATAAATATAGATTTCCCTTATAAGAGTTGTCTACTGTGAATACCTTCCAAAAACCCCCGTTAACTAATCCGCCATATAATTCTATAATATTCCCTATAATTCCCTCTAATTTCATAAGTCTTATTCAAAATTATCTTTTTGGTTGTTCGAAAGCTATCTTTTCGAGCGAGATCTATCTTTTAGCAATTTTTTGTTCTACTTTTTTTTTAAAGACAAGTTTATTTTTTTAGATTTGCACGCTAATCAATTTGGAATTTAATTACATGCTCAACCTAGTATGAAATTCTATATTTAAACAATATGTTTTGGACAAAGTACTAATGTTATGAAGAAAATTAATGTAAGGATTTGTGTCGAATAATAAATTTCTTTTTTTCTGTTCTGTGCAGCTGATAACTTACGCAAGCAATAAGAATTTTAGGATTTTTTTATGCAAGTTTTTATATATTTTTAAAGTAGTTTGCTTAGGACAATATACTGTTGTTTTTACGGAAATTAAGGAAAAAAGTTATGATAAAATCTTTTCTCTACATGCTATGCTTAGTTTTAAATTTTAAGTTTCGCAGGCGAAGCTGCGGGCTACCGAACTTCTACTATCTTATAAGCGGACATAAGCGGGGGTCTTACGGAAAGTGTCATATAAAAAAAGTTGGGAAATCTCAAGAACTATATAATTTGAAATTTAAGAAATCATCGTTTAAGCTAGTGGTATACAAAGATAACAGATAAACAGATTTCCAAAAAATTAGCTTCTGAAGGACAAATTTTATATACCCCTGCACTTAAATTATTCCATGTTTATATATAACAATGTCAAGTGACAAAAATTGGAAGAAAAATTTGTTTCATCCTACCTTAAGTAGTAATATTTTGTTCCTTGTGAGGTATTCGGCTACTTCGCTTTGTTCTAGTTGTTGCAGCGGTATGGAATCGCCTACATTTTCATCAAAAAATGAACAATCATCCTCGTCGCAACAAGACATGTTACAGCAACAGCTGGCAGTTTTGTTCACTGGAAAGTCATCATACGCGTTGTTCCGAAAAACCCCTTCCATAGCATTGGTACCGTTCTTGGAAAAGTACTTAAGATAAGTTTTGGAATATTTGTGTTCATCACCGTCGCAGAAATCTTCTTCTGAATCACATACAGAACTATTATTCAAGCATGAACCACTACAGCTAGAGAATGAAACAGAATGCGACCCAGAGGAATTCTGAATTTTACTTTGGTCGTTGTAGTTGCCGTTCGGTCTGACTAAATTCTCCGAAGTGATGTTACCCATTGGTGATGGACTGGGTTCGACCTTTATGTAGTCCTCGCTGTCATTAAATTTGAAATCCTTTTCACTTATTTTCAAATCAATTAATCTTCGCTCTATTTCAATATTACACTTTTTTTCATTTTCTGATGCTGCTTTTAGCAGTTCATTGGTTGTAGCCTTAGTCAGATTCTTTTTCAAAAAATTCTGCAGATCGTTAGGATCCCCATGGGTTTTTATTTGAATTGAGCCTTCATATTCCTTCCTTAGTATTGGTTTTCCCTTATTTTGGCAACTGGGAAAATCCCCTGTATGAAAAGTTGTGTAATGCTTGCATGGATGCTGGCTATATTCACTATAGACAGAAACGTCGGAATCAGAGCAGCTGCTGAGAAAACATTTCTGATCTTCACATTGGGAATTGAAACTTTTATAATCGTAGCTTTCATCACGATAATTGATCTCGGGAAGTTCAGCTTGTCTGATGGACCGATCCATATTAGTGGTAGTTATCGGATATTGTTTTCGAGTGTGAACACGAATTATCTTTTTTTTTTTTAAGTGGGGAGATTGTTTTGGTGGTGCCGTGAAGTCATTACTGCTGAAATGTTTGCTGTTACTGCCGATTGTATTTCTTTCGTTTTTAAACAACCAGAATGGTACAAATTGATTTGAGCGGGATTGGTCCTGTACTGCTTTTGGCTGAAGATTTTGAGAGTCGGACTTTAGGAGTGATCTGCACTCTATGGTCTCTATTCGTGCGATGCGGTCTGCCCGTGATTTAATGCCAATGAGATTTGTCAGTTTTTGCTCCTGAACCTTAAACATTTCCATAGAACCTGGGTTTTGACTTGGTTGCAATAGCAACTTCCAAGAATCAACTATTGGCGGTTTTTGGGAGGACAAAGAAGTCATAGAGCAATTCGTCGAGAGAGTAGGACCGGTTTGATGCTTATGCCCGAGTTGCGATAGACTTCGGCGGTATCCACCAAAACGAGTCGGATTTTTTCGACGCTCAGCCAGCTGTGGCTCGCTCGACCTGTACATAATAGCATTCTTGCACTGGTGTACATAATTAACCTTGAGCAGCTCCATTTTGGGTATATTAACACAGCCACGAGAATCAGTCGTGCTATCTTCTCCAAAATTTTCACTAGGATGTGGCATTTGCATTTTGGCGATTGAAATTTTATTTTATAATGTTTTTTACATATAAATTTAATCAAAACTTGTGCTTAAGTTCTATTATAGTACTCATGTAGTACTCATCGATCAATACCGTTTAATTTTCGGTGAAATCTTTTGATTTTGTTCAACAACCAATTATTTGCATTGTTATTTCAAGATAGATGAATCGCGCGTTTATTTTTCGAAATTCCTACTGCGGATTATTGTAATTGCTACATCAAAAGCTCGAATCTCACTATTGCTGCTAGACCACTATACAGTGGTTTGGGTTTTAACACGTTCTATCGTATGCAACATGTTCGATACACTTAAACTTTATTTATTTCTTTCACAAACATACAAATCTTCAATTTTCTGTTTAGACATTCTGAAATTCAAATTTGATTCGCAAACCTAGCATTGCAAATTTCAAAAATAAAAATAAAATCAATTTTTTAATGGATTCTGTCCAATTATGGCTTCTTTAGTTTGTTAAGACGGAAAATTTAGAATGGTACACGTATCAATTTTTTAAATGTTCACAATGTGAACTTCACATTTTTAAAGTTGGTTGGGAAAAAAACTGTCTTTAAAATTTTTTTTTTGTTTTATTTACCCATACCATTTTTTTTTGACTTCACTCTTAAGATCTAGGGGTGCTACTCTACCAGAGTACCTTCTTTGAGTATTTTCAACAAATTACTCAGGTACACAGCCAAAAATTTCCACGGACCATTTCTAGTTTTCCATGATAATTGGGTGCTCCTGAGTAAAAGTCCCATACAAACTTATGTACCATCACTTACAGGTTCCGCGGTATAGCTAAGAATACAAAAAACCGATGTTTTCCGAAATTTTGAATTACGTGGCCTATATAATTGGACTAACCTTTATTATTTTCGGTAGGACCTACTCTCAATACATCACGGCATTCCTAAAAAATAGTCCCCATTGTGAACCATTGCCCATGCCTTTGGAATTCGACGCCAAAGTTGAAAATCCCAAAATTGTAGAGATTTTTCTAATGGAAAAACAATTCTGAGGATTAAATCTTGAATGGAAGTAATTTTTACTATTCATTGTATCTATTGTTCATTGTATGCTTTAATTTCGGTTTAAAGCGTTTTCATGAGGATATTTTTTATTGGATTTATTATACTAATAAAACCGTTTTTTCTATTTCATTATCTACTCCTAAATTTTGTCAAATTTTGAATAAGTCATGGCAACGTCTAGAACTAAGAAACTAAATACGTTCACTGAACATACATAGAGAAATGTATATGTTTACTCCCACTCTGTAGGATGCCTTGACTTTTTTAAAATTTGACAACATTTAGGAGTAGATAATGAAATAGAAAAAACGGTTTTATTAGTATAATAAATCGAATAAAAAATATCCTCATGAAAACGCTTTAAACCGAAATTAAAGCATACAATGAAAAATAGATACAATGAACAGTTAAAATTACTTCCATTCAAGATTTAATCCTCAGAATTGTTTTTCCATCAGAAAAATCTCTACAATTTTGGGAGTTTCAACTTTAGCGTCGAATTTCAAAGACATGGGCAATGGTTCACAATGGGGAATATTTTTTAGGAATGCCGTGATGTATTAAGAGTAGATTTCAACAAATAATAATTAAGGTAAGTCCAATTATATCGGCCACATAATTCAAAATGTCGGCAAACATCGGATTTTTGTATTTTTAGCTATACCGCGGAACCTGTAGGTGATGGGACATAAGTTTGTATGGGGCTTTTACTCAGGAGCACCCAGTAATCATGGAAAACTAGAAATGGTTCGTGGAAATTTTTGGCTGTGTACCTTTGTTACTAGAGGCTTCCTGACACATCATCAAACTGATGTGATTTATACTGATTTTTCTAAAGCTTTTGATTCTGTGAACCATAAACTTCTTAATTCAAATTGCGAAAAACCTTTTGGATCTTTTTCATAATGAATCAAATTTAGTTTTTTAATCGGTTTAAACTCTGTAGTTGGTGAAGAAAACTGAAAAAATACACTGAAAAAAAGTTTTGCTATTTATTTTTTGGACAAATAATTTTTAAAAAATGTTAATATTTTTTAATGAAGAGCTAATAAAATTCTTGATCGATTAGCGAAAACATCATAAAGATATCCTTCACCGTTTCGAAAATATACAAAAAAGAGTGATTGCACCTTTTTTTGAAAAAGCGCTATTCTATTTTCTGACCCTTATAACTCCGTTGAAACTCAAATTTTCTCAAAACCGTTCAAATTAAGTTTTTTTTTGTCGTTGTGAACCGGAAAAGTAAACAAGTTTGACGAAAATCGGACCTTCAAATCGGGGGTGGCCCACTTGGGAGATTTTGACTCTTTATAATTATACCCGTCACTCGTAGAGTAAAAGGGTATATTAGATTCGTGCAAAAGTATGTAACAGCTAGAAGGAAGCGTTTCCGACCCCATAAAGTATATATATTCTTGATCAGGGGCACTAGCCGAGTCGATCTAGCCATGTCCGTCTGTATGAACGCTGAGATCTCAGAAACTACAAAAGCTAGAAGGTTGAGATTTTCCACACATCTTATTTGGCTTCCTACGCAGCGCAAGTTTATTTTAGCCGAGCGCCACACCCCCTCTAACACCCACAATCGCCCACTAACGATTTTAAAATGGGTCCTGCGCCCACATCTTTAAAGATTTCCGAGAAGTATAAATGAAATTTTGTTGTGTATATTTATACCTATCGAAATGTAGAAGACATTTTTCAAATCGGACCATTCATTAAAAAGTTATACGCAATCAAAATATCTACATATATCTATCTCCCTCGCACTTCCTTTAGCTGAGTTACGATTATTAGTCGGGACACCAACCTGCGTTGGCACTTCCTTTAGCTGAGTGACGGGTATTAGATAGTCGGGACACCAACCCGACTATAGCGTTCTCTCTTGTTTTAATTTATTTTTAATTTTTTTTAATTTCAATTTAATTTTATTTGAAACGAAAAACTAAAACATCGCTGAAATTGTGATTACGTAATATATGGACAGCCCCTAAGCTAGCATAATTACCGAAAACCGCCAACATCTAAAAAAAATACTCGCTTTAAGCAAAATAAGCTAAACATAAATTAAAAAAGTTTGCAACGCCCACAAACGCCATTACCGGTATAGCGCCCTCATTTATGCCTTGACTCACCAATGGTACCACTGCCTCCCGATAGACGGCGCCGTGCCCGCGTATATTCTGTTTTGTATTTTAAAAAGTAAAATGTAAAGATTTGTCTACAGAGTAAGTGTTGATCCTTATTTTAAAGTTTGTTAGCTGAACGGGTATCTAATAGTCGACGCACTCGACTATAACGATCTTTCATATTATAACCGTTACTCGTAGAGTAAAATTTTTGATCAGGGTCACTAGCCTAGTCGATATAGCCATGTCCGTCTGTCTGTCCGTATAAACGCTGAGATCTCGGAAACTACAAAAGCTAGAAGGTTAAGATTTTCCACACCTATTCTTGGGCTTCCTACGCAGCGTAAGTTTAGCCGGGCGCCACGCAACGCCCACAATCGCCCACTAACGATTTTAAGATGTGCCTGGCGCCCTCACCTTTAAAGATTTCCGAGAAGTATAAATGCAATTTTGTTGTATATATTTATACCTATCGAAATGTAGAAGACATTTTTTAAATAGGACCCTTAATTAAATTATGCGCAATCAAAAAAATTGTATATATATATCTCCCTCGCACTCGCTTTAGCCGAGTGACGGGTATTAGATAGACTATAGCGTTCTCTCTTGTTTTTCTACTGTTTCCTTTAAATCCACTACACAGTACTTAGAAAATTTGTCCTAATCGAAAAAATGAATACTTCACAATTAATAAAAAAGGAACTTGTCTCGGCCTGGTACCTTTCTGAAAAAAAACCCTTGAAAATATTAAAATAGGAAATTTAGCACAAAACACAGGAAACTGACTCGGTTTAATCGCCAGTCTCTGTAAAATATTTTTTTGTTTATTGTTTGCTAAGTGATGCTTTAGATTTATTTTAAACTTACACTCCTTACACCCTTGCTTTTAGAAAAGCGCCTATGAATTTGCTTTTCTGGCGATTTTGTTTATATTAAAGAATGTAGGTTTTTAAAATCAAAGGCGTTTTTTGTAAAAATCAAACAAAAAAAATAGATTGCAATTTAGAAATTTTTTGCTAGAAAGTAAAAAATTATTTCTTAAAATTTAGAAATAAAAGTTTTCTAAAAAAAATAAATACTTTTTTTAAATATAGACAAATATTTTTTAAATAACAAAAAAAAAATTATCAAATTCAGAAAATACAAAAATCTATTTTCGGGCTTCGGAATTATACCGTGTTGTTTTTGTGACGCTACTGCCCTTGGGTTGTTTTTTTTTCGTTCTTGTGTGTCACCTTATTTGAATTTCCTTTAATTGAGCACATGGGTGGGTGTATATATTTATGTACATGCACTTGTAGTTTCAAATTGGAACTGTAATAATAACTGAAATGAGTATACAAATTACAAATTATAAATATAAAAACCCAATAACTTACTATTTTGAGAAAAACATCTTGGTCGCCGCACGCGGGAATCGAACCGCTAACCGCTCGCCTCACAGTTTGCAGTCAAGCACTCTACTAGCTGCGCCACGGAAGCATCACGTGAGGCGCTGTACAAAGTCTATTCACATTTTGTTCTCCTATTTTTACTCAAATTGATCTGGCTCTCTTCTGGTTATTCCTTTTAGTTGTTCATTTAATTTTGCTCTTAAATAACACAGGCCGACAAAATGTGACATGGGTCGGTGTCCAGGCCTGCCACCATTTTATTTCGATAAATGAGGCTTTTCTAAGCATAAGTTGCCACTACGCCTATAGTCCATCAGCTCTGGTATTTGCGGTATCTTTAATTGAAGAAAATCACAAATTTTCTTCGTCTTTTGGGATATATCTTCAAGAGTTGTCAACCAATTTTGGTAATCTTTTCGGAATTAAATAGTTACATGTCTCTTTTATACGGTCGTTTTGGAAAATTCAATCTAACTAAACCACAAGAGAAGGTGGGCGCATTTAAAATTTTAAAGTCACAGCAAAGTTTAAAAATCTTCATTTGTGAACAGCGTTTAAAAATAAAATAAAAATATTTTCTTCTACAATGCATTTTTGATCCCAAGACACCTTATGTCCCTAATTTTTAGGACACTCATCAGGTTTTTGTGCATTGTTTTGGAA